AAAGCAAGCTCATAAGCAACCTCCACAACTCGTCTCAACACCTCAAATGGGCCTATAAACCTTGGGCTCAACTTGCCATTCTTCCCGAACCTCATGATTCCCTTCATCGGCGAAACCTTCAGGAGAACTTTCTCACCCACCATGAATGATAAATCACGTGCTTTCTGATCCGTGTAACTCTATGTCTGGACTGTGCTGTATGAAGTTGCTCCTGAATCAACTTTACCTTGTCCAATGCATCCTGCACCAAATCAGTACCATATAACTTAGTCTCGCCGGGCTCAAACCATCCGATGGATGAACGGTATCGCCGACCATATAAAGCCTCAAATGGAGCCATCTCGATGATGGATTGGTAACTGCTATTGTAAGAAAACTCGGCCAAAGGCAAGAAACGATCCCACTAACCTCCAAAGTCAATCACACATGCTCCCTCCAAGATCTGAACTGTCCGCTCTGACTGCCCGTTGGTCTGCGGGTGGAAAGTTGTGCTGAGCTCTACACGGGTCCCCAATTCACTCTGTACCGCCTCTCCAGAAATGTGAAGTAAACTGAGGGCCTCTATCTGATATGATGGAAAATTGGCACATCATGCAACCGAAATATCTCATGAATATAAATCTGGGCCAACCTCTCTAAAGTATACGTAGTCACAACCGGAATGAAGTGTGCCGACTTGATCAACCTGTCGACAATGACCCAAACTGCATCAAACTTCTGCAAGGTCCGCAATAACCCAACTACGAAGTCAATAGTAATGCGCTCTCATTTCCACTTTGGTATAGTCATCTGTTGAAGTAGGCCACCTGGCCTCTGGTGCTCATACTTAACTTGCTGGCAATTTAGGCACCTAGCTACATACTCAACTATGTCTTTCTTCATCCGCCGCCATCAATAATGCTGCCTCAGGTCGCGATACATCTTAGTAGCACCTGGATGAATAGAATACTGAGAACTGTGTGCTTCTTCTACGGTCTTTTCCCTCAGCCCATCCATATTAGGAACATATAGACGACCCTGGAGTCGCAGAACACTATCTTCGTCGATAGTAACCTCCTTGGCACCACCCCGCAGTACCGTCTCTCGGAGAACCAACAAGGGTGGATCATCAAACTGTCGAGCCTTGATCCGCTCAAATAGTGAAGACTGAGCAACAACACATGCAAGAACTCAATTGGGTTCTAAAATATCCAGACTTACAAGTCCGTTAGCCAAGGATTGAATGTCCAAAGCTAATGGCCTCTCCTCTACTGAAATAAAGGCCAAACTACCCATAGTCTCTGCCTTTCTGCTCAAGGCGTCTGCAACTACGTTTGCTTTATCCGGATGATAATGGATAGTAATATCATAATCTTTTAGTAACTCAAGCCACTTGCGTTGCCTCAAATTTAGATCATTTTGCTTGAACAAATGTTGTAAGCTGCGATGATCGGTGTAAACATCACAGGACACTCCATAAAGATAATGCCTCCAAATTTCTAGAGCGTGAACAATCACAGCCAACTCCAAATCATGCACCAGATAATTCTTCTCGTGGGGCTTCAGTTGACGTGAATCATATGCAATAACTCGCCCCTCCTGCATCATTACACAACCTAGGCCAACGCGTGAAGCGTCGCAATACATTGTATACATCCTTGAACTAGAAGGCAACACTGACACCGGTGCTGAAGTCAATACTCTCTTGAGCTTTTAAAAGCTCACCTCAGAATCATCAGACTATCGGAATGGAGCACCCTTCTGGGTCAATTTGGTCAAAGGTGCTGCAATAGATGAAAACCCTTCACAAACCGACGATAATAACTTGCTAACCCCAGGAAACTCCTGGTTTCAGTCGCCGAAGTGGGACGATGCCAATTTTGAACTGTCTCGATCTTTCTGGGATCAACTTTAATACTATCGCCCGATACAATATGTCCAAAGAATGCTACAGAGTCTAGCCAAAATTCACACTTGCAGAACTTAGCATATAGCTTTTGTTTCCACAAGGTCTGAAGCACCACTCTCAAATGTTGCTCGTGCTCCTCCATACCACGCGAATAGATCAAAATATGATCAATGAAGACGATGAAAAACGAGTCGATATACGACCTGAACACCCAGTTCATCAGATCCATAAACGTCGTCGGGTTGTTAGTCATACTGAAGGACATCGCCAGAAACTCATAATGGCCATATCTAGTCCGGAAAGCAATCTTCGAAATATCTGAATCTCGAATCTTCAACTGATGGTACCCTGATCTCAAGTCGATCTTAGAGAACACTCTGGCACCCTATAACTGGTCAAACAAATCATCAATACGCGGCAACGTGTACTTGTTCTTAATAGTGACTTTGTTCAATTGGAGATAATCAATACACATCCGCATAGTCCCATCCTTATTCTTCACAAATAATAGCGGTGCGCCCCAAGGCGACACACTCGGCCTGACGAACCCCTTTGCTAATAACTCCTCAAGTTGTTCCTTCAACTCCTTCAACTCTTTCGAAGCCATTCGGTACAGTGGGATAGATATAGGTTGGGTACCTGGGGTAGAATCAATACAGAAATCAATATCATGATCTGATGGCATGCCTGGAAGATCTGAAGGAAACACATCGGAGAACTCTCAGACTACGAGCACTAAATCAATTGCTGGATTCTCTGCAGCAGTGTGCCGAACATAGGCCAAATAAGCCAAACAACCCTTCTCGACCATGTGTCGAGCCTTCAGAAAGGAAATAACCCAACTAGATGCACTGACAGACGAACCCTTCCATTCCAATCTAGGCAACTCCGGCATCACCAAGGTAACAGTCCTGGCATGGCAATCTAGGATGGCATGATATGGAGATAACTAGTCCATGCCCATGATGATCTCAAAGTCGTTCATATAAAGAAGCATAAGATCTGCTCTAGTTTCGTAACCACAGAATGTAATAATGCAGGTCCGGTAGATCCGATCTACAACAACAGAATCGCCCACAGGAGTGGACACATAAATATGATTACCCAAGGACTCACGAGAAACATCCAGAAAATGAGCAAACAGAGATGACACATATAAATATGTAGACCCCTAGATCAAATAATACTGAGGCATCTCAACCGCAGATAGAAATAATACATGTGATCACGCCATCTAAGGCCACTGCATCTGGTCTGGCCAGAAACGCATAGAACCTAGCTAGAGCGCCACCTAACTGGCCTCCACCTCTAGGACGGCCTCTACCCACCTTCCCTCCACCTTTGGGTGGCCAGACGGCTAGTGGAACAACTGGTGCTGTAATCATAGACTGCTGACCTTGTTGCACTGCCTTGCCACAAAGCCTGGGGAAGAATCTCCGCACATGACTGAAATCCCTGCACTCGAAACAATTCCTCAGTATGGTGGATTGCTAACCTAAAATATGTCCCTGATGACCTGAATACCCACTGGAGGAGCCCTGAATAGCTGGTGAGCGGTAAGAACTCTCTGGTATAGCACTAAAATAAGGTCGCATTTAGAGCATTCTGAGGAGGTGGATGTGCTGGACATGGGGGCCTGCTGGACTGACCCCTCACGAACTGACCTTTGCCCCTAGCCGGGGCACCACTGAAATCTCCCGAATATCAAAACTGCTTGTCCCACGCCACCTGCTCTCAGCCCCACTGACGGACACCCTCGATCCTCCGAGCAATCTCCACAACTAGCCCGTAAAAAGTTCCCATCTCCACCTCTCGAGCCATGTTGGCCTGAATACTAGAGTGCAATTCGGCGACAAACCTCCGCACTCTCTCTTCAATGGTAGGTAGTATCATAAGTGCATGGCGAGACAACTCAGAGAATCTACCTCATAGTCAGTCACTGACATCTGACCCTGTTGGAGCTGCTCGAACTGGAACCGTAACTCTTCCCTCTGAGAGGGTCGAATGTATCTGTCAAAGAAGAGGTGTGTGAACTGTTCCCAAGTCATTTGAGGGGAACCTGCTGGTATGCCGAGAAGATGTGACTGCCACCACTTACGGTCCCTGCCCTCCAACTAAAAAGTGGTGAAGTCTACCATGTGAGACTCTAGTATCCTCATGTTGTGCAGTTTGTCCCTGCACCGATCAATAAAGTCCTGGGGGTCCTCATGTCGCTCACCTCCGAAAGGAGAAGGGTGAAGCCTGGTCCATCTGTCCAATAGCTTGTGCGAAACACCTACCACAGCTGGTATGGGCTCCGGTGTAGCTGTTGTAACTGGTTGTGCTCCGCCCACGAGTAGTGCACAACAGTTGCATACCCATGAGCCTCCCCCCTTCCGTCTGAGATGTGGTTGGGTCTACCGAAAATAAATCGGCCTGAGTCATAGTATCCATGAACCGCAGCATATGGCCCATAACCTCCTGAAATCACGGAGCAGTTGTGAAATCCACCGGAGCTGGCCCTGCAGCATGCACCTCGCCCTTTTCCTTAATAATAGGATACTCTACTGGATCCACTGGTGGCATAGCAGGAGCAACTCTGGTATATCCTCGTCCCCTACCACGGGCTGGAGCCCTCCGCCGACCTCTGCCTCAGCCTCTAGCAATAGGGGGAGCAGTTCTTCCCTGGTCTGGAACCTCCGTAGAGCGCGTCATCACCATCTGTGAGGGAATACGGGAAAGATAGTTAGTATTACATCAACTGCACGATAGGAGATGGAGAAAGGTAGTTTCCTAACACCCTATAGCCTCTGGAAGATAAGTACAAACGTCTCTGTACCGATCCGCAAGACTCTATTTGGCATGCTCATAACTTGTGAGACTTACGTGAATCTAGTACTCTGATACCATGTTGTCACAATCCAATTTCACCTATAGATCGTGATGGCGCCCAACATCACCGCAAGGTAAGCCAACTAGTGAATTAAACATATATTTCCTCTTTTAATAAATTTTCGAGTAATTAAACTTTCCTTACTTGCAAGATTTAAGAAGAATAAAAAGTCTAAATAAATAAAAACCAAAGTAATAATTTCAAACCACAATTCTACAAGCGTGTGTGACAAGACCTGGTGTCACAAGTGTATGAGCATTTAGTAGATTATACAAAACTCAACAAATATTTGAACATGAAATAGACATAATACAAATACAAAGGAGAGGCTCTAGGAGCTGCAGAACGGCTCAGAAAGCAGCTCACCACTAAGCATCGGGATATCTGAGATGCGCGCCGGTAGGACCGCTTGATGCACCTGTCTCAGATCCTGCACAAAAAGTGCAGCAAGTGTAGCATGAGTACGTAAACAACGTGTACCGAGTAAGTATAAAGTCTAATCTCGAAGAAGTAGTGACGAGAGGTCGACTTCGACACTTACTATGGGTTAATAATATTAAGATAGGAATATTTAAATAAACACAGTTTATGGGAATAATAACAAATTTCCTTAACAAGCAGGAAAAAAAATAATTCTTTCACAATTTAAAAATTTCCAATAAGTCATTTATCTTCACAAGCTACAATAATAATGTCAAGACATCGTGTAATTCTTATTATTATTAAGCACGATTTATGTTGAGGTCATACGGCTCGATCCGGAATAATGTGTATACTCCCGAGGGTCGAGCGGCATGAACCATAAATGCATCTATCTACTGCCGAGGTGATCGGCCCGCTCCACAAGAAGAGAAGGATATACAAAGTTCATTAACGATCTTCCACAATTTCTCCAATAAATACTAATATAATTTAGGTATTTTTAAATTAACAAGTATGATGCAAGATTTCCAAATAATTCATGAATGGGGTCCTAAAACTACCCTGACAATAGCATAATAGTAACTACGCACGGACTCTCGTCACCTCGTACGTACGTAGCCCCCTCAATTGGAAGTAAATATTTATTTAAATCACCTATGGTGTAATTTTCCTCTTACAAGGTTAGACAAGAGACTTATCTCACCTCAAAGCTAACTTCCCGGTCACGGTTTCGCGTTAAGGCCTCAATTTGGTGCCGAAATATCCAAAACTAGCCAAATGTTATATAATTTAATCAATGCATACTCAATATTTCATAATTTATCTATTAGAGTAATTAACCAACCCAATTTGGTAAAATTCCTAAAATTCACCCCGTGCCCACGTACCCGGATTCTGAAAATGTTCGGAAGAACTCAAATATATAATTTTCATCCCATTCCATAACCATTTTCGTGGTTAGAATCTCATTTTTATCAAAACCTAGGTTTTTCATCTAAACCCTTGATTTTCACAATTTACATGTTATAATCTACCCATAATCTATGTATTAAACTCACAATAGGTAGAATTAACTTACCTCCAAGTTGTTAGGTGAACACCCCTCTCAAGAAACTCTAAAATCGCCCAAGAATGGAGAAAAAAGGGCTAAAAAATAACTGAACCCCGTTTTTAAGACATTCTGTCCGGCACAATAAAATCCTTCTTCGCGAACGTGGTACGTGCCTCGCGAACGTGAAGGCTTACTTGGCCTACCCTTCGTGAACGCGAAGGGTAAAATATGTTGACCCCTCCCATGCCACGTCCTTCTATGAGAACGCAAGAAGGCCTTCATGAAGGCATAGGCCTGGGATCCCCAAGCGTCGCGAACGCGACCCCCTTCCCGCGAATGCGAAGGGTAACTGCCCAGCTCCCCAAATCCTTCATCGTGAACGCATGAGTCCTTCCGCGTGCGCGAAGAAGGAAGCCAGAACTAGAAAATCTGATTTTTCCAACATTGCTCCGGGCGGTCCGAAACTCACCCGAGCCACTCGGGACCCCGTCCAAATGCACCAACAAGTCTGTAAACATAATACGGACCTGCTCAAACTCTCGAAATGAGTAAATCAACAACGAAACTAAGAATCACACCCCAAAACCGAATTGAATTAAAATATGAACTTCGAGTTTCCAAATTGCTCCGAACGCGCCAAATCATACTTAGTCTACTCGGAATGACACCAAATTTTGTGTGCAAGTCTTAAATCACCATACGAAACTATTCTCAGGCTTGGAATTCCAAACTAATGTCGATTACTCCAAAACCTACTCCAAACCAAATTTGAAGAACTTTAAATCTTAAAATAGCTAACTTTCACTATTAAGCGCCGAAACGCTCCCGGTTCGTCCAAAACCTGATCCGAATATACGCCCAAGTCCAGAATTATCATACGAACCTAATGGAACTGTCAAATATTGATTCCTAGGTCGTTTACTCAAAATGTTGACCGAAATAAAACTTGGCCTTTTAAAACCAAACTAAGAAACCAAGTGTTCTGATTTCAATCTGAACCCTTCCAATCCCTGAACTAACTATCCCCGCAAGTCATAAAATAGTAAAAGTATATACGGGGAGTCTTATTTAGGGGAACGGGGTTCTAGAAGGCAAAATGACAGGTTGGGTCGTTACAGGTGGTATAAGGATAGGGTTGATACGCATGAGGTGAGATAAGGCGGGATTTATACTCGTGGTGCTAGTAAAGGAATTACTTGAAGCCACTCGGTGAGATAAGGAGGCTAAAATGCATGTAGCTATTTTGAAAAAATATTTTCAAAATAAATGCAAGGCTCATGCATTGATATAAGGAAGATTATGATTGTGACTTGTGAAATGAGATTATGAGGTGTGGTACCTCGGTTGTGATTCTTGTTGTACATTATATGTTAAAAAGGCTTGTTTATTTGGAACAATCGTTATCTTTTCTTTATTGTTTTTACTTATATTTTACGGTACTTGATCACTTGTTGTTCTTATCATGTGTTCACTCTTTGTTGCCTTTATTGCCTTAAATTTCGTCGTTAGCCTACATTATTGTACTACTTTGTTGTCATTCATTTTCTCGCTTTCCATTATTAGACTATGTGATACTCTGTTCAGTTTTCTTATCCTAGTAGGTGTCTTAGCCTGGCCTCATCACTACTCTACCGAGGTTACACTTGATACTTACTGGGTACCGTTATGGTATACTCATGCTACGTTCTACACATTTTTGTGCAGATCCAGGTACATCTGCTCGTGTCGAACGCTAGTGATTGATCAGTTATATTCGGAGACTTCAAGGTACACCTGATCAATGTTCGCAAGCCTCAAAGTCACCTTCTGATTTAGTTGTATTACTGTTTATTTCCCGTTCAAAACAGTATTGTACTTCGAGATTATTAGTGTACTCTCTGTAGAACTACGACTCGGTTCCACCAGGTTTTGGGAGTTATTTGACAGTTGTGCCATTTAAGTTTATTTATGATAGTTTAACAACTTAACTTGATATCTAAGTTGTTATTTCTGCCAGTCCTCAATGTATGTTATGTTCACCTAATCTTAGAGATTAGGTGTCATTACGATATCGTAAGATGGGAAACTGGGGTCGTGACATGTCCAATTCTTAGCACGCTGCTGAAGATTAAAAATCAGCTAGTCCAAGTGATATTACCTTGCATGTCCAATCATCTCAAGGGAAAACAAGTGAATTTAAGCATCATTTCAAGGATTGACGGGATATTATCCGTACGCAAGCGGAACAACCGCATAAGATGCTGGAATTTGATGCCCCAACATTTAACTTGTGTTATCTGATATGCTTGGCAAACGGGCGGGTCGGGTCGGATATTCGCGGATCGAAAACGGGTAATTCAAAAAACGGATAAATTATCTGATCCGACCCGTATTTGAGATGGGTAAAAACGGGTTATCCGACGGATAATATGGATATCCATATTGTCCATGGCTTTTTGAATATGATCACTTATGGGGGAATTCCTAATCTCCCAAACTTGAGGAAACCCCAATTTGAGGCTTTACAAATGTAAAAGTTAAACATATAAGTTATCCATTAGTTATCCATTTGGTTAACCATTTTCTAAGTGGATAATATGCATGGTTCTTATCCATACTCAACCCATTTTTAAAAAATTTATTATCCAACCTATTTTTTAATGAATAATATGGGTGGATAACTGTTTTCTTTTTACTCATTTTGTCACCTCTACTTACCATCAACTAATTGCAATGGAGCATAACTATCTAGGGTTGCATTAGCATGTAATGAAAGAAGCATTAAGACTCGAAATCTTTGAAACAACCAATACTGTACATAGTAGAATGACATTTACTACTAGAACTCCTCAATCCCAAGCTAGTTTTGATTAGCAATATGAATGTCTATATCCATTTTGTGCTACTTGGTTTGATTTCATTCCAATACCCTCAATCTGTCGTACCATTTAAGGGTTCTCTAAAGCTAGACGTACAAAGTCATATTAAAGAAACCAAAGCTTTCATTACTAAGATTCCAAACATTGTTTTTCAATAGGAAGTGGCAGAGGGAAGCTGGAACAAGATAGAACCTTGTCCATGTTCATACATTCCAGCATTTTTATGCAAGGTGAACATGCAACAAATTTTAAGATAAGGACAAAATGCCATCAATAGAATCAGTCTCAAGCATTAACTAATCTAAATTTATTTTAGAATTTTAAAAACACCACGTACGTCTTTTCACATTTTCACAAAAAAGAGAGATAATTATATTAATTAATCACCTTAAAGATGAAGCTTTTCCCGATCCTCCCAGCAGGGTGATTCACGACAAACCTTTCTCTGCTAGAATTCCTGGTCCCCATCTGAATAGCAGTAGATGTCACGGGTTCCAAATCAAAAGGACACCACATTTCTCTTTCCCGAGGCAAATGCACATTCATATCACACAACCCCATCAATTACACAAGTCACACAAATCAAATACACCCCTTTAGCCTTAGCACAAGGCACAAGCCTTAACAATTCTTCTGTATTCTCGCTCTTGCTGAACATAACGTCCAAACATAATTAGAACCTAAGATTCCTGTATCTCCATGAAGTGCGTGCATCCGCAACGGATAAAAACCACCCAAGATATTTATTCCAAGAGAAATGAAGGTTTGTGAGATTTTCTTAGACTGATTTTCCAAACAATTGTGCCTTTGGAATTGAGGAGAGTCTAGGTGAAGGTTAGATTTTGAGAGAGATCCAAATTTTGGAAGAAGTGATTGATCGACGTAATTTTGTTGGGATTTGAAGAGGTTAAGAAGATGGGTTGAGTCTATTGAGGATTCTTTAGAGCAATGGTCCAACGATAATGATGATGGTGGAAGAGACCCCATTTTTGAGTTTTTTATTTTTTTCTCTGTGTTATCTTCTTGTATATTGGGAGTTTTTTCTGATAAATTAAAGAAGTTTGGGTTGTTAATTCTGTTAAGTATAAACGCAGGGGGAGAGAGGCTGGATTGTGAACTTCCATCATTCAACACGAATATCTTACCTGGAAAATAACTCCATTATTCTTTTGGTCAAAGAGTTTACATATTACGATAAATGTTGTGCCATGTAACAAACCCAACGACAACATATCTATGAAAGACTAGTTTCGGAACTCATAGTTAGGTTAGACAGGTTTTAAGTTTACGAGTTATTATAATAAATATAAAATTAATTGACGATAATAATTGATATCAATATTATTAATATTTAGTAGATTTTTTATTACATATATTTTATTTGGCTACTAGATTCGCCCTTGAACCTATATCTTCCCTTTAAATCTGCCCCTGGTTGGAAAACTTGATTATGGGAAGTGTAAGCTAAAATTTGCAGGTCTAGTACATGGCACCAAACGGTAAGTAACTCTAGTACACGACACTAAATTGTATGTAAGCTAAGGAGCTATGGAAGAAACCATGAAATCAGAGGCGGATCCAGAATTTGAAGGTTTCGGGTGCCATATTGCTTTGGACTTTGACTTGATCTCTTTTGAGTTTCGGTTCGGATTATTCGTCCTTTGGATTTATATAGACAAATCGATTAAATAAAATAATTTAATAATTATGGTGAGCAAAGCACAAAACTTCAATAATATAACTAATATCAACAAAAGGTAGTATTATTCATTTATAATTGACTGGAGCTATGTTTGACTAAAAGATGGGCAAATAGGACTAAAACTCATCGTAGATGCATATTTAGATACTCAAAACAACAACTTACTTAATAAATACTAGAAAGTTTTTTTTTTGGTAGAACACTAGTATAAACTTTGAAATAAAAGCAAGAATATATAAAATTAAGAAAGTCAATAAGAACTCATAAGAAAAAAAAGAGTCAGCAACAATTGGAGGAAAGTAAAAAAAAAAAAAAAACAAAAAAAAGAAAGAAAAGAAGAAGTTAGTTACGAAAAATGCAATTAAGCAAGTCAATAAGAACTCATAAGAAAAAAAAAGAGTCAGCAACAATTGGAGGAAAGTAAAAAAAAAAAAAACAAGGAAAAGAAAGAAAAGAAGAAGGAAAAAAAAGGAGAATGAATCTTCTGTAAGCAGCAAAACAGAATTAGTTACGAAAAATGCAATAAACTTGGGCTCGATCCCATGCCCTGAGAAGGAAACTTTAAGCCTGCGCCAGTGGCACCAAGCAGTCATTTGTTATCTCGGGTGCCACTTTATTTATTTATCCAATTTTCTATATATACATATATATACAAACAACATTTCGACCGAGGTTGTAACGATCCGATCGGTCGTTTTATTTTCTAGATCCCCGTTCCCCTAAATGACTCCCCGCGTATGTTTTTACTATTTTATGACTTGCGGGGATAGTTAGTTCAGGGATTGGAAGGGTTCGAATTGAAATCGGAACACTTGGTTTCTTAGTTTTACTTTAAAAGGCCAAGTTTGACTTTGGTCAACGTTTTGAGTAAACGACCTCGAAATCGGAATTTGACGGTTCCAGTAGGTTCGTATGACGATTTTGGACTTGGACGTATGTTCGGATCGGGTTTTGGATGACCCGAGAGCGTTTCGGTGCTTAATGTTGAAAATAGGCTTATTGAAGGTTTAAAAGTTCTTTGAATTTGGTTTGGAGTAGGCTTTGGTGTTATCGAGGTCCGTTTGTATTCCGAGTCTCGGAATAGTTCCGTATGGTGATTTAAGACCTGCACGCAAAATTTGGTGCCTTTCCGAGTAATTTAAGTATGAATCGGCGTGTTCGGAGTAAGTTGGAAGAATTTGAAGTTCATAAGTTGTACATATTGGTTTTGGGTTGCGATTCCTAGTTTAAATGTTGTTTTCCGCATTTTGAGGGTGTGAGTGAGTCTATTTTATGTTTAGAAACTTGTTGGTAGTTTGGACAGGGACTCAAGGGGCCCGGATGCTATTCGGACGATGCGCGGAAGTCGTTTGGCCTTGGGTGATCAACTGAAGCATCCAGCCTCTGGTGCAATCGCACATGCGGAGGGTCAGCCGCAGGTGCGAGCTCGCAAAAGCGAGCCAGTAGCCGCAGAAGTGGCCCAGCTTAGGCAGCCCAGGTATCGCAGATCCGGATGCGGTAGGCGCAGAAGCGGTCAAGGGACCGCAAAAGTGAGGAAGGGCGCAGGTGCGGCTCTCGCGCCGCAGGAGTGGGCTCGCAGAAGCGAGCCATTCTTCCGCAGATGCGGATTTAGGCCAGCCAAGAGAGGACCACATCTGCGATGAATCTTCTGCAGATGCGGCCCTTGGGCCGCAGATATGAAAGTCCTGGAGGCAGTGAGGTCCATTTATTTCGGACTTAGGTCATTTTTGGTTCATTTATTTCACTTCTTGGGGCGATTTTGGAGCTTCCTAGAGAGAGATTCCCACCTAGATATTTGAGAAAAGTAATTTCTATCCAATGTAAGTTAAATACATAGATTATGGGTAGATTTTAACATGTAGATTTGTATAAATCATGGGTTTAGATGTATAACCCTAGGTTTTGATAAAATGGGATTACCCACGAAAATGGTTATGGGATTGAGTGAAAATTATATATTTGAGTTCGTGAGGTTATGGGTAAATACTTTCTTCGAAAATTTCCTGAATCCAGGCACGTGGGCTCGGGGTGAATTTTATGAATCTTTCAATTTGGATTGGGGAATTACTCTAATAGCTAAATTATTAACTTCTGAGCGTATATTGATTAATTTATAAAATATTTGATTAGTTTCGGATTGTTCAGCACCGAGTTGATGCTTTAGGGTGAATTTGAGGCCAGAAAGCGAGCTTTGAGACAAGGTAAGTCTCTTGCCTAATTTTGTAAGAGGAAATTTACCCCATAGGTGATTTAAATTTCTATTTGCTTCCAATTACGGGGGCTACGTACGCACGAGGTGACGAGAGTCTGTGAGTTATTCTTATGTCCGGGTAGTTTAGGACCCGAATCATGAAATACTTGTAATTTTTGCATCCTACTTGTTAATTAAAGTTCCTAAATTATATTGGAACTCGTTTAAGGAATTGTAAATGACCGAATTTCACTTACTTAAGTTTTGGCGGGTTACTTGATCGTTAATAGAAATTGTGCTTCTTTGCGCATTAGCCTTGTATTAGCTCTTAAACCGGTTATTTATAAAGTATTCTCTCTTCTTGTGGAGCGGGTCGAACGCTTTAGCAGTAGATAGTGCATCTATGGTTCGTGCCGCTCGACCCTCTGTAGTGTACACATTATTCTGGATTGGGTCGTACGACCTCGGCATAATTATGCGTGATAACACTCGTAGTGTCATTATATATTTGATATCTTTTCCTGCCTTGAGAGGCTAATATTATATAAGACAAAAATTTATTTGGGACTTACCATGTGTGAAATAATTATTTACTTCCCGCTTGTTATTGAGTTATTATTATTATTTACATAACCCATGCTTATTTAGAACTTTTGTATTTCTTTACTGTTAGCTCATAGTAAGTGTCGATGTCGACCCCTCGTCACTACTTCTTCGAGGTTAGACTTGATACTTACTGGGTACATGTTATTTATGTACTCACAGTACACTTCTGCACTAACTGTGCAGAATGTGAAGCAGGTGCATCTGGCGGTCACACCGGCGCGCATCCCCGATACCCTGAAGCCTAGTGGTGAGATGCTTCTTGAGTTGTTCTGCAGCACCTAGAGCCTTTCTTTTATACTTATTTTCTGTCTATGTTATTTCATACAGTAGTTAGAATTTTTTATATTCTACTAGTGCTCATACACTTGTGACACCAGTTCTTGGCATACACTCTAGTAAACTTTATAGTTTTGGAGTATTTATATATCTATGATTGCACTTAGTTGCTTCCGTTTTAATTATTAAACTTTCTACTTCTTATATCTCTTAATAAATGGAATTTAATTACTTGGAAGCCTTTTTAAAAAAAACAAAAAGAGTAATCACATAGTTAGTTCATCGTCTGCTTGCCTAGCAGCGGCGTTGGCGCCATCACGACCTATAGAAGAAATTGGGTCGTGACAATATGGTATCAGAGCACTAGGTTCACATAGGTCTCGCAAGTTATGAGCAGGCTTAATAGAGTCTTGCAGATTGGTGCGGAGACATCCATACTTATCTTTGAGAGGCTATATGGTGTTAGGAAACTACTCTTTTCTTCATCTCCTATTGTGCAGTTGATGTTATGCCAAGTATCATTCTCTTATTCTCTCACAGATGGTGAGAACAGGCGCGGAAGATGTACCAGATCATGGAGGAGTTGCTTCCCCCTACTGCTAGAGGTTGAGGAAGAGGCCGAGGGAGGGCTCCAGCTCTTGGTAGAGGATGAGGGCATCCTAGAGTTGTTCCAGTCATGCTACTAGTGGATCTAGTAGAGGATATTATTATTGAGGAGCAGGGCGAGGTGCCTGCAGCAGAGCCAGCCCCTGTGGATTTCATGTCTGCACCGGGATGCCACGAGGTCATGGGCCGTATGCTGCGATTCATGGATTCTATGACTTAGGCTGGTTTATTTCTAGCAGACCCGGCCATATCTCAGGCGGGAGGGGGAACACAGACCCCTACCGCTCAGGCTCTAGGGCATGTAGCTATTGTATATCGGACCCAGGGCGCACTACCCGTGGGCGGAGCTTAGCCAGTTGCAGCAGCTATACCTTAGCCCAGACCAGTTGCGATCGGCGATCCGCAGAAGTTATTAGACAGATGGAGCAGGCTTCGTCCCCCTGTCTTTGGAGGTGAGCGACATGAGGATCTCCAGGACTTTATTGATCGGTGCAGGGAAAGACTGCATAATATGAGGATATTGGAATCCCACGGCTTGGACTTTACCACCTTTTAGCTAGAGGGTAGGACCCGTAGATGGTGGCAGTCCTATCTTCTCATCAGACCAGCAGGTTCTCCTCCCATGACTTGGGATCAGTTCACATGCCTCTTCTTGGACAGATATATTCCATCCTCTCAGAGGGAAGAGTTGCGGTTTCAGTTCGAGTAGCTTCACCAGGGCTAGATGTCGGTGATCGACTATGAGGCGAGATTCTCTAAGTTATCTATCCATGCACTTATGATACTTCCTACCGATGCAGATAGAGTGCGGAGGTTTGTTGCCAGGTTGCACTCTGGTATCCAGG